CATATCTAAAAACAGATAAATTCACAGATGAAAATATGGACACAGTGTTTCCTTCTGATAGTTTTGATCCATTTTGAGTTATTGATGGGGTAAGGTATGCATCCAACCTCATTCTTTGGCATGTGGATATGGTTGTCTCAGCACCATTTGCTGAAAAAACTATTCAAGACCAATGAATGGTCTTGACACCCCTGTTGAAAACCAGTAGAGCAGAAATGTGAAGATTTCTTTGTTCCCTCTCTGGTCCTGTTCCACAGGCCAGCACTGCAGGGTCTCTATTGCTATGACTTTGTAGTTAGTTCTGAGCTCAGACAGTGTGATTCTTTCAACTTTGATCTTGTTTTTCAACACTGGCTATTTGGACTCTCTTGAATTTCCATGTGAGTTTTAGGATCTTGTTAGGGCTGTTCTGAGAATGATTGTGTTAAATCTGTAGATCGACTGAGGTGATATTACCAACTGTGGGACACTGGGATCTTCTAACCTGTAAACATGAGCTGCCCTTCCATTTATTTATATATATGTTTTGAGACATGGCTTGGGATTTGCAATTATCCTGCCCCAACCTCTTGATTCTGGGGTTAAAAGTGAATACTACCATACCCATCTTTTGCTATTCTTCAATTGATGTCAGTAGTGCTCTGTCATTTCCAGAATGTGAGCATTTGTTTCTTTGGTAACATTTACTTCTAAGTTTGTTATTTTATTTTATTTTTTTTTCGGAGCTAAGGACTGAACCCAGGGCCTTGCGCTTGCTAGGCAAGCACTCTACCACTGAGCTAAATCCCTAACCCCTACTTCTAAGTTTTTTTTTTTTTTTTTTTGGTCTTTTTGAGACAGGGTCTCCCTGTAGCCCCAGCTGTCCTGGAACTCTATGTAGACCAGGCTGCCTTGAGCTCGGAGATCCACCTGCCTCTGCCTCCCGAGTGCTGGGATTAAAGGCGTGCACCACCACGCCCAGTACTTCTAAGTATTTTTAAAAATTATTACATTTATTTATTTCTATTTCTGTGTGTATACATGAGTGCACCTGCCACGGGGCATGTGTTGAGGTCAGAGGAAAACTTTTCGAGAGTACCCGCCTTCCACTTTGTGGGTCTCGGGGATTGAACTCAGATCATCAGGCTTGGCAGCAAATGCCTTCACCTGCTAAGCCATCTCACCAGCCTACTTCTAAGGTCAGAGGCATCAGTTCCCCTGGAGCCAGAGTTACAGACAGTTGTGAACCATCCGATGTGGGTTGACTGTGTGTCTGTAGTGACACAGGGTCCTTTGCATCTCTCAAATTCATATATATTGAAGTCCTAACCCCCCATGAGACTGTGTCAGAGGTATGGTCTTTGGAAGTAATCAAGGTAAACTGAGGTATTGAAGTCATAAAGGGGGATCCAAATCCAATAGATTTATGGAAAGAGGAGATGCAGAGATTTCTCTTGTGTATGGATGTAAAGACACAGGAGGAAGGCAGCCATGTATAAAGCAAAAAGAGGGACTGTCAGAAGCCAACATAGAAGCACTGTGCTCCTCGCCCTACCTATCCTTTCTGAGAAATTTCTTTTTCTTCTTTTTTTCTTTTGATTTTTTGAGACAGCTACTCCGATTTAAACATACAAATCTAAATAATCACTCCTAGAATCCACATATGAGCAAGAACATGTGATGTTTGTCTTTCTGGGTCTGGGTTACCCCACTCAGAATCTTTCCAGCTCCCTCCATTTCCCTGCAAATTTCATTTTCTTTACAGCTGAATAAAATTCCATTGTGTAAAAACTAAACACCAAGAAAACAATTCAATTAAAAAGTGAGCTGTGAAGCTGAACAGAGTCCTCAAAAGAAATACAAATGGCAAAAAAGTTTTTTAATCAGGGAAATGCAAATTAAAACTACTTTGAGATTTCATTTTACCCCAATCAGAATGACTAAGATCAAGAAAACAAATGATAACAAATACAAGGATGTGAGGGGAAAGGAACATGCCCTCCCTGTGACTGGGAGTGCAAACTGGTGCAGCCACTATGGAAATTAATGTGAAGATTCCCCCAAATGCTAGAGCTAGAACTTCTATATTACCCAGCTATACCACCTCTGTGTGTATACCCAAAGGACTTGATATCCTACTACAGAGAGACCCATTCGCCCATGTCCATTGCTGCTCTATTCACAGTAACTAGGAAATGGAAACAGCCTACATGTCCATCAACTGATGAATGGATAATGCAAACATAACATAAATATATCATATTGGCCGGGTGTGGTGGCCACGCCTTTAATCCTAGCACTTGGGAGACAGAGGCAGGCGGGTCTCCATGAGTTCAAGGCCAACCTGGTCTACATAGTGAGCCCTAGGCTAGCTGTGGCTACAGGGAGACCCTGTCTCAAAAAGACTCCCCCCCCCCAAAAAAAGTATATTAACCATTTTAAGTATACAGCTCACTAGTGTTAAATGTATTCGCATGGTTTGCAATAGATGGCCAGAGATATCTCGTCTTCCCATTTGGCAAAATTGAGGCTCTATATTAACTCCACCTTCCTCACCACCATCTTGCTCCCTGGTCCTTGGCAAGCAGATCCTACCTACTGTTTGCATGAATTTGACTGTTTTAGAAATTCCGTTTAAGTAGTAGTATCATACAGTATTTGTCTCATTATGTCCTCAAGGTTCATCCATGTTCTAACATGCAACAGGATTGCTTTTATTTTTAATAAGTTTTGAAGGGGAAAAATGCATCTCCCTTTGACAAACAAAACTGGAGATACAATTCACTTTGAAATACTGGCCTCTAGAAGTACTCCTCCAAAAAATTGAAAAATATGTTGAGTCCAGTGTAAAAATATCAGAGAAAGCTACTCTTAACCTTTTCAAAAGTAAAAAAATAAAAACACCTTATGTCCAAAATGAATGTCATATCAAAATATAAATTATTTTTGAGGTTTTTGTGGAAAACAATATCTACCAATAATAAATATTAAAGGTAACCACTCAATTGGCCTTGTCAAGTTGAAGAGAAAAGACAGCTCCTAGTTTTCCCAGAGCTCTAAAGTGCAGGCCTTTGGTCCTGGGGCAAGAGATAGTCCGTTTTTAGCTTCTATGATATGGTTAATATGTTAATGTGTAGATTTCCCCAGATTCCATCCCCAGGGTTTACCTTCACAGAATGAAGGCCACTGCAGAAACAAGGGGGTGGGGGGCAGGGATGGAAGGTTTTGTTAAGCCTGCTATTAAAGCTATGTTGGAGCCAGGTGAGGGGGTGCATGCCTTTAATCCCAGCACTCAGAAGGCAGAAGCAGGTAGATCTCTATGAGATCTGGTTCCAGGGGCTGCATAATAAGACAACAAACAAATAAAAAAATCCCAAAGCTGTATCAGAATCCCCAAGACTTAAAATTTCTATATGAAGAGGAATTTTTTAGACACATTTGAAGAAAAACAGTTTTTCTATGTGTGAGTATGGCAATTCACATGACCCCGCCTCGATTCCTTGCTGGTCTCCCTGTTGGCTACTCTTGTGTATCTCTGCTTTGGTTTCCTCTTCTCTCCTGGTGTCTGTGCTGATCTCACCTTCCCTGGCTCTCTGTTCTTTGCCTCTGCTCGGCAGAGAGTCTGGCAGGCCTCATAAGCTGGGTGGGGTTCTGTCTGAATAAACGACTACATCCTGGTGTACCATCTGGGAAGGTGTTGCTAAGACATGGGGAATTGGAGTCAGGGCATTTAGGGGAACAAAGTGAAACTACTTATGGAGCCAGCCCTCTAGAGAATGGCCCTGCATAAGTCTTCCAAAGGTGAAACTGGGTGAAGGTGACCTTCAAAAGAAATTCTGGGTTAGAACTGGAAGACCAGCAAAGGGAGACTGTGTCTGGGGAGACGGTGGTTTTAGAGCTGCAGGTTGTGGCTCAGTAACAGCCCTTCCTGCCTCTTTGCTACCTAACTCTCTGAGGCTCTGCTCAGTCCTGGGGTTATAGGGCTGTTATTAACTCCTCGCTCTTCAAAATCCAGGCAACGTTACCACTCAGAATCTGTCTACTAAGGCAGGCTAAGTTCCCCTGGGGGTCCCTTTCCTCTTCTGTCTCTCCTCCCTGGCAACCTTTGGCCCATGTAACCATGCAATCATTGGCATGAAGTTTCAGAGTCCATCAAAGACAGGAGCTAGGTCTTATTCATCACTGAACTTCTTGCATCTAGAACAGTAACTGGCTCATGGTAGGTTATTTTTTTTTTAAAAGCTCAAGGAATGAGTGGATTCGTTTCCACGAGCATATTTTCAGTGGAATGATGGTGCCGGGCCAGAGAGGAAAAAACATGGAATGCCAAGATATAAAGAGATGGTACACAGAGAGAGGAGACTAGATCGCCTCTGGGGACAGCTTTGCAAATGGCCAGGCTGGTTAAATGTATGCAAAAATCCTTCTGCCCCAACATCTTTTCTTTGTTTTATTTATTATTTTTTATTTTATGTGTATGAGCGTATTGCCGGCATGTATGTAAGTGCACCCAAGTCATGCAATGCCCAGGGAGGTCAGAAGAGGGTGTCAGATCCCCTGGAACTGAAGCTACAGATGGTTGTTAGCTGCCATGTGGGTGCTGGGAATCGAATTCAGGTCCTCTGTAAGAGCAGTCAATGCTCTTAGCCACTGAGCCAGCTCTCCACGCCCCTGCCCCAACATCTTTTACAAGACAACTAGAATCAGTTCAGTCACTTAAAATATATTGACATACTTGACTCCCTTGCCAAAGTGATGTTTAATGATCCGTATCTCACACAGTAAAGTAAGGCAAATTTGCTTTGGGTTTGTATGTGTTGCCTATCGATTGGTTCCCCGATCCTGGGTCATACTATTCTTATTTTTATGTTAATTATTACCAGCAGTAGAAACAACATGAAAAGGTTGAGAGGAGACTTGGCTAAAGGAGAGTGCTTTGCAGGCTTCACAGTCTTACTTCTCGGAAATCCTAGAAAACAGAAAGTGACAGGAGGCTGTCTAATTAAGATTTCAGTTTGACCATGAGTGAATCAAGCAAGACAGAGTCCTCCGATGGAAAATTCAAATCACATAATTTATTTGTCAACAAACTTCTTAGGGGCTCAAAACTCAGGCCCTCCCAAGCTGAAAGCAGAGAAGGGAAAAATGACCTCAAAACTGACTTCCAGGCCAGCGACATGTCTCTGAAGATGTCCAGCGTAGACACTGGTAAACTTTCGGCTGCTAATATTTCTTTATTTTTTAGAATAGTTTTTCTTCCAAAGAGATCTCGTGGTTTAAAATAACATTAACATTAATCTCTGTGGTGTACATTTATTATGACTTAAATGCTTTAAATAGTTTGTATTTTTACTTTTAGATTATATAAAGGTTTAGTAAAGAATCTATGTTTTCCTTTCATTAAAACACAAATGATTTTTCCTTTTTAAAAATGAGTTAACTTTTAGCAGCTTCATACATGTATGTAATGCATTCTGACTACACTAGCCCCTCCGTTTTTCACCTCCCTCCTCCCCATCTCAACCCTCCCTAGGAATCTCTTTTCCAGAATCAAGGCTTCTGGTTTTGTGATCCATTTAGTTTAACCAAGGCCATCTGTGTGAATATTGGATTGGAATTAGCTACTAGAGCCTGGTGGGGTCATCAGTGGGTACACAGCTGAAGGCAATGATTCTCCTCCCCATGAACCTACCAATATCAAATAGTTCTGCAGTGAGGGGTGAGGCCTCCCAAGCGCCTTCTCCAGCCATGCCTAACTGTTGATGGGCCCAGTCCTGTGAAGACCCAGTGCAGCTCTGAGGTGCTGACTGCAAGGCTGTGCCTTGCTCAGCTGACTTTTTCTCGGCCCTTCTCCCTATCTTACACATCTACATTCTTTCTGCTGATTAATTTTCTTTTCCCAACAGGGTCCTCAAACTCTTGGGTTCAAGTGATCCTCCTGCCTCAGTCTCCTGAGCAGCTGTAACTAGTGCAAATCACTACACCCACAACTGGCCATTTCTTCAAGGTGCTTTTCAGGGGTTTTGGTTTGGTGTGGCTTCCTATGCATGGATTTCTATTCAGTTAGCAAACATTTACAGAGCGCCTTCTCTATGACAGCCACGGAAAGCAGGACCTTACATAGGCAAAGAATCAAATGCAACTTTAATTGGCAAATGAAATTAGGGGGAAACAATGTAAGCTGAGGAGCTACAGCAGGTGGGCTGGGGTGCTGAAAATAAAGGGTCTGGACTGGAGGATTCATTTGGTGGCATTTGAATAGAGATCTAATATAATCGACCATGTACACAGATGTATTAGCTACAATAACTTTCTAGAAAAAATGGGCGGGGTAGGTGTTAAGTGCAAAGGCCCAAGGAGATCTGGAGGTCAGACTGTTTGAGAGGGAGTCAGGACCAGGATGCTGAAGCCAGATGAGAAAGGCAGACAGGAAGACCAGCAGGAGACTGACTGGCGCAGCTTCAAGCCTCACAAATCCCGTCTGCATTTACAGAGTGGTCACCACCTTCCCTTTGGAACGTAGTGTCTCGCTCAATTCCCACCGGGCTCCATGAAGCTCAGGCAGGAAGTCTTCTACTCAGAACATTTTATTACACACATGTACGATGACTACGTCTCCTCCCCCATTGGTGACTATCTTTGGCTTTCCCTCTCTCCTGCTCCCTGCCTTGCTACATTTCAGCTATTTTTAAACACAAATTCCCAGAACAGAGATTGTAATTTGAATAAATATTGCTATATCTGTCTCCAAAGTTATGTTATATGCAATTGTTATATTATCAGGTTAATGTTTTTATTATTTTAAAATTTTTATTTATTGTGGTGTGTGTGTGTGTGTGTGTGTGTGTGTGTGTGCACAAGTGCCATAGGGTAGTGTGACGGTCAGAGGACAACTTTCAGGAGTTTCACCATGTTCCACCCTTGGGTCCCACAGATCAAACTCAGGTCATCAGGTTTGGCAGCAACTGTCTTAACCTGCTGAGCCATCTTCCTGGCCCTATTTATTTAGTTGGCTGATTTTGGGGTTTTTTTTTTGCATTTATTAATTTGTGTACATGTATCGTGATGCTCCTGTGGAGGTCAGAGAACTTTGGGGGAATCAGTTCCCTCCTTCTACCCTATGGGGCCCAGGGATCACACTCAGGTTGTCAGTCTTGGCAAGCACCCATTACTCACTGAGCCATCTCACCAGCCTCCGCTTTTTTTTTTTTTATAAAGACTGGGTCTCATGTAACCCAGGATGACCTTGAACTTATTATGTAACTGATGATAACCTTAAACTCCTGATACTCCTACCTCCGTCGCCCCGGTTCTGGTATCACAGGTGTGCACTACCACACCCAGTTTTTCTTCCTTTCTTTTGGGGTAGGAGAGAGAATAAATATTTTTAAAGCATTTTAAACTTTTACTCAAACATATATTAAAAATAGAATAGTACAAAGTGCCCTTGGTTACCTGTCTTTAGCAATTATCAACTCAGGACAGTTTGCTTTTTTAAACTACACTTATTTCCATAGGATTGTTTAACATCAGATGCCAAATAGAACATTGTTTTACCTGTAGATAAGTTGGATGTATTTTAAGTATTTTTTTTAAAGCTGCGTTTGAAAAGAGGCCATGCCTGCTGAAAGCTAGTTCATATTTGTTCTAAACTATGTTTGGAGCTTCTGTAAAGTGGGTAGGGAATACCAGCAACCGTCATTAACCTAACAGGGCAAAACCAAGCAGCAGCCACCCTGCAGTCCTGGCCGTCCATGTCACACCCAGCCTCTCCACCGCTTGTTCGCCCCAGAGAATTGCCCTGGAGTCAGGAGAATTCTGCCCCATGTGGCTTTCATACCTGCCTCCTGTTCTCCATCACACTGTCTGGCTCTCCTTGCTGCTTTCCTGGCCTGAGCATGCTTTTAATTTTTTTATTTTATTTTATTATTTATTTATTTATAGCATCGTTTTTAATTTTTAATAACTACCTGATTAGAAGAAGCATTTCACTACAGCTTTAACATATTCAGTAACACGCCCCAGAGCAAGAGTACATCTTTTTCACAAGTGGGTGCAAGTTTCTAGGTTCACAGTTGAGTTAATACAGTTTTACATTATTGAACTCAGTATAAGCCCTGTAAGACATAATATTGGATGAGTTTTTAACCTTTAAAAAAGATCTCCATTTCATTTTAGAATATATTGTTCCTTGAAGGCAGAC